TGAACATTCATAATCACAAAATTGTCACGAGACTTATCAATAATCACAAAATTGCCACCGTGCAACTTTAGACCATTAGATCATTAGCCTATAAAGTTGATCAATGAACATAAATTGGTCTTACGGGTCTCACGAAAAATCTTTGGTCTCACGTAAACCCAACCATATATATATATATATATATATATATATATATATATAAGTGTGACACCAGAATGTTAGGATGTTTTTGGGCATCTTACAAGTTGCACACGTCTTTTTATAGAAGAGTTTTGTTTACAAGACATTTTCAAATAATTTTATATAAAAAAGACTAATATAACGTTTTATTCCAAAAGTGTTAAAAAATTAATTTGTTAGGATGAGAACTATCCTATCAACTTATGTAACAGTTTTACAAATGACGTGCTATTGTTTGATCTCATAAACATAAGTCATATAAAAAATCTATTAAGAAATTTAGACATATCTAACGTCTTATAATGCTTATTTTGTTGTACATTTTGGGATTATTTTCGTAACTTTTTTGTCATATATGAACACAAGGGTCGCCCGCAAAAAAGCACTTGTATATTCACATGTGATTTCAGTGTAAAATCGTTTGAATTTCCCTCTAGCTAGTAACTTCTAACTTTTTAATTAGAGTTTGCATTGATCAATTAGGAGTCATTCTGAGATGGTGAACACATTCAAGATATGGACTTATAAAGAAGGAGATATCCCCTTAATGCATACGGGTCCGATGAAAAATATATACAGCGTTGAGGGCGATTTCATCGAAGAGATGGAGAGAAAAGGAAACCCGATGGCGGCTAACCATCCCGATGAAGCACACGCTTTCTTTATCCCGATTAGTATAACCAATATCGTTCGTTTTCTCTACACGCCTGCAGAACGCTATGGTTACCGACAACGACTACAAGCAATAGTTGAAGACTACATTGGTGTCATTTCCGAAAGGTACCCTTATTGGAATCGTAGCAACGGAGCTGATCACTTCTATGTTTCTTGCCACGATTGGGTATGTTACTCTACGTAAACATATTGATCGATATTTTTTGGAGTTTTATATCAACTAAACTTGGACTATTTTTTTTATTACATATTGGAACGTCGATTCATTTGTCAGTACAACAAAATCGGCGGTCAGCTTTTACAGAACAACAAATATGTTTAAAGGTCCAAATGGACTATTTTGTAGAATACTTAAGTTTACAGGACCAAACAATTACGTATCTTGTTTAAAAGTGTTATAATAAAATGCAGTTAACGTCCTAACAAGTTTTTTTTTTGGATAATTTGAAATAAAATGTACACTACAACAAAATCGGGTTCATAGAACACTCCCAAATTCTAAGCATCCTAATAGACCTCTTTATAGGACCAAAAAAATAAAGTGTTATATCTAAAGGTGTTGTAATAAGTTTATATGACGTTTTTTGGTGTCGTAATAAATTTTTTAGGACACTTTTTAACATAAAGCGTCTCATTATCAACTTTATAGGACACTATTTGAAAATGTGTCCTATAAAAACAAATTAAATGTCCTATAAAATATTGAGTTTATAGGACACTTCCTCAAAAGTGTCCTATAAAGTTGCTAATACGACACTTTATATTAAAAATGTCTTTACAAACTTGTTAAGATGCTCAAAAACGTCATATAAACTTATTATAACACCTTTAGATAGGACACTTTATATTTTGGCCCTATAAATTAAGTTCTAAAAAAGGGTCTATTGGGACGCTTAAAAATTACGGGTGTCCTATAAACCCAATTTTATTGTAGTGGTAATATTAGTCCTTTTTATATAATATTAATCGGAATCTCTCATATCTTCTCTAGAGCTTTTTTTTATATTAATCTAAGAGAGTTTCATATATTCTCACGTAATACAAATGTACGTGTATTTATGACAGGGTCCCTTCGTTTCAACCGGAAACCCTAAAATCTTCGAGAACGTCATAAGAGTGCTCTGCAATGCCAACAGCTCGGAAGGTTTCATTCCGCAGCGCGATGTGTCCATGACCGAGATCAACGGGCCATTCGACAACATCCCAACCGTAAGTAGTGGCCAATCGCCCTACAATCGTTCAATGTTAGCATTCTTTGCAGGCGGAAACCATGGTGTTGTTCGAAAAAAGCTGTTCGAATATTGGGGAAACAAAGAAGATGACGATATCCAAGTTTACACTCGCCTACCGATAGATCAAAACTACACCGAGTTTCTAAGCCAAAGTAAGTATTGTTTGTGCCCTAGTGGTTATGAAGTTGCAAGTGCTAGGGTTACCGAAGCAATCTACGTTGGGTGCATTCCGGTAACGATCAAGAGTCATTATGTTCTACCGTATAGCGATGTGTTGGATTGGAGTCGATTCTCGATACAGGTATCGGTGGATCAGATTCCGGATTTGAAAAGGATTCTGGAAGCAATATCGTTTTCGAAGTATTTGGAGATGCAGAAAAGGGTAATGGAAGTGCAGAAACACTTCATGGTTAACATTCCAGCCAAACAATTTGATGTTCTTCATATGATCCTTCATTCTGTGTGGTTAAGACGACTTAATGTTCAGTTACTGAAATCTTGATCATATTTCAGCTGATCATGGTTGTGATATTTAGATTAGTTTTGGTACTAAAAGTATGTAATCTTAATATCTATATGTATTACTTATTACTAGAAAGGTACTCGTGCAATGCATCGAGACACGTTTTCATTTTAATGTTTTGTTTTATTTTTTATCTATGTCAATATAATACGATTTTATGTTGTTTTAAGAAAACAATAATGTTTTTATTTTT